TAGGGGTGGACAACCCATATCACTTAGGGATATCATCCTACTAGCATCAACCCTATATGTACGGAACACCGTACCATAACAATAATATACTTATAAATTATCACTTACGTAGCATGTATATATTACTATACAATAAATCAGTGTATAACATCAAGTGCTCACTACGGGACGTATCTTTTATTTATCATCCCCGTAGATTATCAATTATCATTATCAATTATCATTATCAACAAGTGTAGGAATAACCCCAACCCTATATTTTAATAGCGATTTTAATGTAAACGCTAAAACAACGTTTTCCGGGACAGTTAGTATTCTACATATCAAGCTTTTTTTTTTCGTACTACTCTAATGCTGTTGGCCGCAGCTGTCCTTTACAGCTTCACCGGACGTTAGGGGGCGTGCAGATGGCACTCGCGGAAGGACTTATAAAGCGGCGGAAGGCCAACTCCTGCCTGACGGATACGACTTTAGTCTGAGGCACCACTAGGGTTCGAACCTCGGCTCAGGCCGTCGTAATTTCGATCCCCGTTTGAATTGGACGGAGAATCGATCGGAGGGGTGTATACCAAGTACAAACAATTTTGTTCTACCCTCCATTTCTTAGCAAATAGGCATCAGTTTTATCACACAACCACTTTTAAACAAAGAACATTAAAACTTTTCACCCAAACAGCGGAGTGAAAACAACGGTTATTTTTCTATAAAACTCATAAAGCGGCCGCAGCGACGGCGCCTCTTTTAAAACAATTTCGCCAACAGTATCTAGTGTTTTGTCCTCTGCCCTTAAATTAAATTTACAAAATAGACTCCGACAGCACTTCTAAGTTGTGAACGTAGCGAATTATAGCCCTTAATTTATAGAGGCACGTCCCAAGACACGGACGACAGCGGGCAATTACGATTTAATAGATTATGCTAACAGCGTTACATTAACCTCTGGCATGATTGTTTGTATTTTCATATTAATCCTTCAATACATTATGTTACTTGCAACCTCTGACAAAATAATTGTTATTTTTATATTAATCTAGTCTACATTTATTCTTTTTAATTTAACATTTATATTTATTAGATCTAAGATCTGCTCCATCGTGTCTTAAATTATTATTCATATTTTGTTTATTAAAATTTCTTATTCTTCTTCTTCGTTATTGACGTGATTGATAGTATTTATAGTAAGTCATAATATACAATAATTATTCTTTTTAAATTAAAATTTATATGTGTTAGATTTAAGATCTGCAGAAAAAAAAATTACAGTAACAAGATTAAGGTGGTATATGCATGTAATGGGACGAGAAGAGAGTCATATGACAAATTCCTGAACCTTAGCATCAGCCCAAAGGGACGAGGAAGACACCTACTGACAGCAGTCTGTTATCAATAACGACCTAAGGAAAACTGAATAAACAACTCGATAACCGAGAACAGATGTACCTGACGAAGGACTAGGAGAGTTGGCCCCAAATGAAATAGGCAGAGAGAGAGAGAGAGAGAGAATTAGATTGTTAGAGGAGTGAGGATCATGTCATAAAGAAAGTATTTGAGATGAAAGTGGATGGATGGAAAAAGAGAGGACGACTAAAAGAAAATATGGATGGACTGTGTGAAAGATAATACGTATAAAAGAAGAATAAGTTCAGATGGAAGAAGTGGACATGTATATTTTTCACTAGTTTTTTCAATAGTTATTTCGGCCGCGTGGAATATATATATATTTTTTTAATAAAAAAATCTAAGTTACTCCTTATAATATAGCTCACTATCGCAGATATATGAGTGAGTGAATAATCCGTCAAATTAAGTCCAATCGTATCAGAGATTAGTAAGATTTAACAGACAGACAGAATATTTTTGATATAAATTATTGATGTAATTACCGCAAATATATTTGCTTTTAGTAAAAAGCTGTGCATTTGAAATTAGAAATAGATACTTCAATTTTATTTATTTATACAGATATATATATTAAACTAGTGTAATTTATTAGTGGTATTTTCATCACTTGAGATTTTTAGTTTCGATTAGAACTTACCACCATTTGTGGGTGTAAAACGACATAGTAAAGCATTAAACTACGAATCTCACTGAATACACGCACTAAAACATCTCATAAATCGCACATGTCCAGTGATTTGGCCCAATCCTTATCCGGCTTACTCGTTGAGTAGCTCTTATTGTGCCGTAAAAGTTAATAGGAGTATTTCCAGTCTCATAATATTGTTTTAAGGGCCGTCCCGTTATTGTCACTGCTGACAGTGCCAGTAGTTTTACTGCCATTTGATTTTTCTAGAACCTTCTTGTGTTATTTTTAAAATAAATTAACAAAACTAACAATCTTGAATAAAAGCAGCCATCAAAGAGATCTTTTTTATGAGTAACTGTTTATGCTGGCGAGAAACCAGTTGAGGATGATAAGATGAGCATGAAGTCAGTCAGTTAGCCTATCTTGGCAAATTTACCATGATGGTTCCCAGGGGAAACCGCGTGGAGGTCAACCTGACATATTGCTAGCAATGGGTTTAGTCCACATTACTAACAATTCCCTTTCTCAATTAATAATAATAATAGACGTTTGAATGTATTACCCCCGTAAAAAGTGAGCTATATAAAAAAAATGTATAAATAATAAAAGTAATTTTTATTTTTCATCCTATATTTTTTTTATTGATGATAATGGAATGGTGCACCCTCCAGCGCTCACTGGTTACGCTGGCGGGCATCAGTGGAGGATGATAAGATGAACATGAGGTCAGGTCAGGTAACCCATCGTGACAAATTTATCACACCAGGAATTTATCACGATGGTTTCCAGGGGAAACCGCGTGGAGGTCAACCTGACATAGTACATTAATAGTAATATGTCATGAATTGAATAGAATAGAATAGAATATAAAATCATTTATTGAAATAAACTTAATTTAAGCACTTTTATAGTCATCACAATTTTTTTAATCTACCGCTTATTCGGAAAGCTGTCTCATCACAAGAAGAATAAGCAAGAAACTTGTGTGTTGCTCTTTTAAACAATCCTTGTAAGTTCACATTTTACAAGTCGAAACGTGTGAATTCAAACTACCAACCAGCACTAATTTATTTAGGCTCAAATATAATAACACGATAAGATTAAATCAGTCGTAGTGATAACAGCAGGCACTCGTTCACGAGTATGACAACGATGAGTTCACATTACTAATAATTCCCTTCCCCGTATCTCAATAGTCCCAATGACGACCCAGACTAGAAGTATCTGGAAACAGATGATTAGGAGAATCAACCCCAATTGAGATCGGTTAAGAACGGAATGGTTGTAGTAGTGAATTAATAAAAAAAAACTTTCAGTGAGTCGTTGCATGAGTTTTGAGTATTTATATAATCATATACGAACTCATTTGAAAAGAATAAGAGCTGAGTTTCTTGTCAGTTCTTCTTAGCTCGAAAGCACACAGAACTAACGGTAGATGTAACATACCATAAGAATCTGTAATACCTACATGCATAAAGTCTTTCGGATTTGATTTGTTGATAAAAATCATAAATTATAATTACACAATTGTTTCATTTCATTAAAATTGGCTCTCGAAAGCTACCCAGAAGTTTGTACTTAATTAAAAAAATTTCAGTGTAGCACCTTTGTTTTGTACCCTAACGAGGTAATTATTGTAACAATGCTGCCCAATGATGGATGGGGTAAAAATTCCAAATTAACACCATTCTTTGAATTTAACCGAGTTCAAAAGAAGAGGAGAAAGTTTCTAATTCGACGTCGGAGCCTGGGAAGCCTGTAAACTTTTGCCAAGCGATGCATTCATTAGACGTGCATAATTTTTATTCCAATGTTTCTAAAAGTAGGCAGAAAATACATAAATACTGTGATAATGTAATAATAATCTCAGGACAATTCACACAGCGCCATCTAGACACAAGTTAAGCTAGTTAAAGCATGTGTTATGGGTACTAGATAACTGATACATACAGATAGATTTTTTTTTGTAAATACATACATATTATACATAGAAAACACCCTGACCGATACAGACAATCATACTCATGATTAAAAATGTTGGTGCCGTGCGAGGAATCGAACCTGCGACCATCGGACGTAAAGCGGTGTGCTAGACGTAGACTAATAAGATAGTATCTATTTTTTAATTGAATATTTAGTATAATAATTATACACACTGAATTTACTTGGTTACGGTCCGTAAGTGTAGTGTACACTACGGCACCATTATAATAAATAATTATAAAAGAATAATATGATATATAGAATTAATGAATAATAGTAATAATGATATTTCATTTTAAATTTGTAAGTTTTAAGATAAAAAAAAGTCATATAATCAATATACCCTTTTTGAAAAACCCCATGCGGTAGTATCCCAAGAAAACAATAATAGTTAGAAAGGAGGTCAGTAGCGTATATACTTTCATTATTTATTAATTAACAGATTTTAATTAAATACATTTTAATTAAAATTTGAAATTACAAACATACACTTCAATTTTATATATTTATGATGGTGTTATATTATGGTACTGGTGCTCACTCTATCCTCCCAAATTTGAATTTAAAATGAATCTATATGATTGTAAACATGTACAACATTTATTTGAAAAGAATACGAGTTGAGTTTCTTTTCAGTTCTTGTCATCTCGAAGTCATTCCGAACTGACGGTAGATTTGACATATCTTGTGAGTCTATAATAAAGATAATTTAAATTCGAATTTATGTACATAATAAAAATTAATGAAATATTCAATATATTGCATTCAATATCTAAACATCACAATATTCACAATAAACCCGACGTGAATTTAAATCACAATGATTTACGTCATGTGAATATCATTTCATTTTCATTTTAATATAATGATACATGAAATGACACGGTCTCGTTGCAATTTGCGATTTTAATGAAACAATTTGAATGTGCGGACATGTGCGGTAATTGAGGATGCTGTTATTGAAACGTATTCAATATCTTTGTTACAGAAGCCGATTACACACTGGACGATTCGTTTTGGAATGAGGAGAGCCCAGTCGGTAAGTACCTTTACTTGTACCTTTCTTATTAAAAATATATAATAAGTAATTCAATTGAGTGACTTGCCAGTTCTTCCCAATTAGATCTATATACTGAACTGGACGGTAGGGAATAATATAATATAAAAATTTGACGTTCGTAAGCGGCTAAAATGTACTACATGAATAAATGATTTTTTAATTTGAATGTAACTTTTCTCTATTCTCTGAGCCGGCGATTTTGCCATTTTATTGTATACCAAGGCAGGCTTTGTAGAAAATCGTCTGTTTTTTATTTGTTAACATATATAATTAATGTATATTGGGTAATAAATTTTATTACCCAATATACATTGAAAACATTCAGACTAATACAATGATACTCAAGAGTATCAATAATTGTGCCGTGCGAGAATCGTACCCGCTACCATCCGACGAGATGTACTAAACATCTAAACCACCGAGGCTATCATATATACATATATGAGAAGTTCTCGTATTACGTATATCCTAGCATTATATATTTACCTAGAGTCGAGACCCATATCAAATCTGTCATAACTAAATTCAAATCCCATCCCTAAAGCCTAATTCCAACTACTTTAATAGTAATTTACTGAAGTGGCGAGTAATTTAATAAAAGAATACCCTGTACGGATGAAATTTTGATGTTCGGACATGTTTAGTTGCTTACTGGTACGGCTTAACTAAATTACTAAAGCATTTTGAAATAATTTTAAACGAAATCTCTCAGTCGTCAATAAAATCTATCTATATAATATTCTCGTGTCAATCAGTGATAGTTGCTATACTTATCCGAAACTTAACCGATATATACCTGAGAATATTTATTTATTTTGAAATAACTTTAAACAAAATCTCGCGGTCGTCAATAAAATCTATATATATAATATTCTCGTGTCAATCAGTGATAGTTGCTATACTTATCCGAAACTTAACCGATATATACCTGAGAATATTTATTTATGGTTATCTATTGCTTATACGCCTAAGTGATAAGGGTAGCTCATCCCTATAAATATTATATGTGTGTAGTAATGTTATGTGTGTGTGTATACATTATACATATATGTCTATGTATAATATGCATGACTAGGTTACAACTGTCTCAAAAGTTATTTGAGAGTTTAAGTGGTCGCCCAGTGGTCAAAATTTGACCATAATAAAGAAAACAAAAATGTTTTTGGACCAGCAGTCAAAATTAAACAAAATAATATATATGCGTGTGTATTATATAATAATAATAATCTCAGGACAATTCACACAACGCCATCTAGACCCAAGTTAATCAAAAGCTTGTGTTATGGGTACTAGATAACTGATACATATATATAGATATTTTTTTTGTAATTACATACATATTATACATAGAAAACACCCAGACCGATACAAACAATCATACTCATGAATACAAATGTTTGTGCCGTGCGAGGAATCGAACCCGCTACCATCGGTCGTAAAGCGAGGTTGTCGTAATGTTCTTTTTTATTGATTTAGTGTATTCTATATGCATAATTAAAACAAAATATTAACATTCTGCATTCCTTCTCTATCTATATAAAAAAATTGGAGTGTCTGTTTGTAATATAGAAATAACCGTTTTTTACTACATGCATATGAATATAAATACGGTACATACACAAAAATAACATTTTTTACAATTTTTGTCCGTCTGTCTGTCGGTCTGTTTGTTCCGGCTAATCTCTGAAATGGCTGGACCGATTTTGACGGGACTTTTATTGGCAAGTAGCTGATGTAATAAGGAGTAACTTAGGCTACTTTTATTTTACGAAATAAAATTAAATTCCACGCGGACGAAGTCGCGGGAACAGCTAGTATAAACTATAAGTGTGCGGAATTGCATACTCCGTCCGCTCAATTTCTTAAAAAGGGATAAAATAAACTTCGCTTTACGTATTAATATAATATTTTTACCGTATTTGTTACTATTGTAAATTTTAAATGAAATTAAAACCTTTTAAAAAACGTAATATTAATACGTCGTAAAAACACGTCGACTTTATCATGTGAGATGTAAAAACTCAGCTTCCAGGATATCCTGGCGTATATCACGCAGGGTCGGGGAGTCGGGAAGTTGACTATAACCCTCGCCGACATTGCAGTTATGAATTTCAGGCGAGTTTTTGTGCGACATTAACAATGCTCGATAAAATCGACGTTGAGTTTAACTCGGGATGTATTTTAATGTTTGCCAAATTTATATCGCTCCAAATGTTATGAGGATATTGTATGGCTCGCTGAGATGATATGTTAGGTTTGATTGCCGAATTGATTAATTTAGTAACAGATAAAAAAGCTTTCTTTACTAGTTTATATCGTTTGTAGCAATGTTGTGAGAGTTTTATATGAAAATCGCTAGCTCGCTGAAATGATATGTTGGGTTTGATTTCCGAATTGATTAATTTAGTGACAGATAAAATAGCTTTCTAGATCATAAAACCATTCTATTCTTTTTATTTATATCTATCTATATTTTATATAAACTGTTTCTGTTAAATTATACTACAAATAAATAATATTATTACATAACCCAGAATATCCCACGAAATGCTACCTGGTTCCAACTAAGTTTCTAATATTAATTTTCCCTAAACTTTTTTATGTCGTAGACCCCTTTCCACATTTTTCGGTTTTGGATAGACCCCTCATTCCTGGTGTTAATTTTTAGAAAATATCTAACTGTAGTAAAGTTTAGTGTTAAAAACATGAAGGAAAAACAAATAGATGACTGCTGTAGACCCCTTGCAGTTTGTCATAGACCCCTGGGGGTCAATATAGACAACTTTGGGAAACACTGATTTAAACCTTCTACATAACCTTCCCTGAAAATATGAAATAGAAATAGTAAATAATCTTTATTCAAATAAACTCGATACACTTTTGAATAGTCATATTTTTATTCTACCGCTCATTCGGAACGCAGATTCATCACAAGAAGAATGAGCAAGAAACTTGTGTTGCTCTTTTGAATAGATGTTTTTTTATATAAATAAATACACAAAGTACATCAAAAACTATAGCGAAAGAATAGGCTTTGAGTAAGAGAACAATATTTCACTCGCATATAATAAATGAAGGGTATAATTCCAGCCGGTAAAGTTTCCCAAAAACGTGACAGGGGGTTGCGTGGACGCAGGGGGGGGGGGGTTAGCAGGGTTACCAGACGGCTGAAATTTTCTTAATATGTCCTGAATTTTACCCATTTGTCGAGCACAAATAATTTTTCGTTTTGAGTGTATCAGTGATCTAGCGGTTTAATACAAAGACTTAGTTCCGCTGGTCCTGGGTTCGAGTACTCGCACGATACAAACAATTGTATTCATGAGTATGATTTTTTGTGTCAGTCTGGGTGTTTTCTATATATTTGCCATATTTTTTTTCAGTTTATTAGGGGAAATGATCGAATAGGCAAAAAAATATGGGAATTTAGTTTTTTACCCGGGACAAATAAAAAACAAAATCATTGACAGTAACATTTCTTATTTTTTTTAATTAGTGGTACGAACGTTGCGTGCGTGAGTATTTTTGACTAGTATAGATCGATTGATGTAATAATAAAAAACGGAGCACGGTTCGAATATGGGACAGTCAGTCCTTCCGGGACATTTTAAACTAAGCTTAAAACACGGGACGTCCCGGGAAATATGGTACGTCTGACAACGCTACTGGTAACCCTGTATGAGGGTGAGAATTGGAGAGCAAGGTGGCAACACGTGATGTTGTCACGGCGTTTATGATTGTACGTTAATTTTAAACTCATGTACGAGAAGTTGGGAACAACAAAATGGCGGAGAGAGAGCCCAGAGCGCTTACATTAGCGACATACTTTTTGATTATAAACATTCATTGCAAAGTCATGGTTTTATCTTGAGGCCAGGCTGTAGTTTAGTCATTTTATTTTAGAGAATAGAATAGAATAGAATAGAACAGTAAATCATTTATTCAAATAAACGTAATTTAAGCACTTTTGAATAGTCAACATTTTTTTCAAATCTGCCGCTTATTCGGAAAGCTGTCTCATCACAAGAAGAATAAACAAGTAACTTGTGTGTTGCTCTTTTAAACAATCCGTGTAAGTTCACATTTTACAAGTCGAAACGTGTGAATACAAACTACCAACTTGTACTAATTTATTTAGGCTCAAATATAAAAACACAATAAGATTAAATCAGTCGTGAGAATAGTTCTCCATATACTGAAGGAATAATAATAATCACATTGGACAATTCACACAGCGCCATCTAGTCCCAAGCTAAGCAGATCTTGTATTATTTATTATTTGTACTCACCAACTGATATAAATATTTAAATACATTTTTTGTAATACAAACATAATATACATAAAAAAACACCCAGATCGATACAAACAATTACACTCACGCTTTATTTCCAATGGTCGCAGGTTCGATTCCTCGCATGGTAAAACATTTATATTCATGGGTATAGTTCTTCGTATCGGTCGGTATGTGTGTATTTACTAATAAAAATATATGTAAGTACCTATTTATATCCGTTGTCTAATATACATAACACAAGCTCTGCTCAGTATGGGAGTAAATGATCAAAAATAGTTGGCAACCCTAGTGTGAACTGTTGTCAGCCATTTTGCTCTGAAGAGGTAATCAATAAATAGACCCACTTTATAAATTCAAATTCAAAATATCTTTATTCATGGAGATCTATTACAGACTCTTATGTGTCAAATATGACAAGAACTGACAAGAAACTCAGCTCGTATTTTTTTTCAAATAATAGTGGAACATGTTTATATTATAATATATATATATAGTTTGCATGAGAGTATGGCACAACAAGCTGCAACATTCTCTATATATATCTGTAATAATATGAATACAAAGACATTCCGTGCATACCAATACGAATAATGTTTCCCATTCATTCGTACTGAAAACCGTGCCCACATCAAAGGTGCGCTTTACACAGTTTTAATTTCAAACTAGTTTGAACCGGTTCGAACT